CTGTATGCCCACTGATGGATGAATGATAAAGAAAATGTGGCATACATCCATGAAGGAATGTTATTTACTCATAAAGACAATGCTATTCTGCCACTTGCAGACACGTGGATGAAAATGGAGAATTCTGGGCTAACTGCACCAGTCAGGCAAGAAGGCTAGTGAAACTTGTTCATGTTCCTAGGTCCTGTACCACTCACATGTAGAAGCTGAAAAGTGGGTCTCACCAGGAGAGAGCAGAGTGGTAGCTCCTAGAGCTAGGGAGCATATGGGGTGGGAGGGGGTGAGGGAAGAAGGCTAACAGTGTGTGGGTTGGGAGGGGGTGAGGGAAGATGGCTAACAGTGTATGGGGTGGGAGGGGGTGAGGGAAGAAAGCTAATAGTGTATGTGGTTGGAGGGGTGAGGGAGGATGGCTAACAGTATATGGGGTGGGAGGGAGACGGGGTGAGGGAAGATGGCTATCAAGCACAGAAGTATGGCTGGGACTGAAGAGTAACTTCTAAAGATGATTTGTTTTATTCTTAATTGTGTGTGTGTATGTGTGAGTGTGTGTCTGAGTAAGTGTGTGTATGTCTGTTATACATGTACTTGAACACAGGTGCCTGAGGAGGCCAGAGGCATGGAATCCCTTTGAAGTTGCAGTTCCAGGAGGTTGTGAGCCACCTAACATGGGTGCTAGAAGTCAAACTCAGGTCCTCTGCAAGAGCAGCATATAGTCTTAACCACTGAGCCATCTCTCCAGCCCCAAGAGTAACTTTTTTAAAATAAAGATTTATTTATTAATTATGTATACAGTATTCTCAGTATTCTGTCTACATGTGTGTCTGCAAGCCAGAAGAGGGCACCAGATCTTATTACAGATGGTTGTGAGCCACCATGTGGTTGCTGGGAATTGAACTCAGGACCTTTGGAAGAGCAAGTAGTGCTCTTAACCTCTGAGCCATCTCTCCAGCCCCAAGAGTAAATTTTAATATGCTATGGCATTACTAAAGTATGAGAAATAGCTTCTAATGTTCTGTGGTTGGCAGCAATTAATTGTATGCTTCAAAATAACTGCTGGAGAGGATTTTTAATGTTCCCAACACAGAGAAAGGACGTCTTAGTTGATGGATAGATCGGATCATGTTGTGCACCTATAGTGAAATATGTACAATTGTTTTCATCAAAGGAAAAAAAACGAAACAAAAGTCAGGTATGGTAGCACATTCCTATAATCTAGAACTTGGGAGGTGGAGGCAGGAGAACCAGGAATTCATTCAAAGTCATTTTCAACTACATAGTGAGTCCAAGGCCAGCCTATGCTGAATAAGACCTTGTTTCAAAAACCAGAACTACACAACCACCAAAAGAACCCCAACTAATCCCTCAACCAAAACAAAACTAAAAAAATCTATCTGAAAAAACACAATGAAATTTTATTTTACATCCATTGGATTTTAAGTGCTCCACGGAGGTCATGTGTTAGAAAGTGTGGGGGGGCTATAGACCCTTAGGAGGCAGAACCTAGTATAATGTGTTGGGTTGCTGGGAGTGTGCTGTTAAAGGCTGTGAGACATTGTTCTTGCCCACGGGGCAGTTGGTGACACCAAGTCCTCTCTCCAGGATGTGCTGCAGTGTCAAGGGCTTCAAAGCAACGAGACTGAAATATCTAAACCCTGACCCAGACAAAACTTTCCTCTTTAAAGAAGCATCTTGGGTATTTCGCTGTAGTAACAGAAAGCTGACTAGCACAGTTAAGATAGCTACTTTTTTATAAACCAGAAACTAGTAAACAGCAAGGCTTTCAAGAATCTAGAACTGATGGCGATGTAAAATGGTCCAGTCTCAGTGGAAAATAGTATAGTGGTTCCTCAAAAGAGAACCCACAGAATCACTGTATGGCCAGCCATTCCTCTCTATGGGTATACATCCTAAAGAACTAAAATCAAGGTTCACGGTAACAGGATTCTCAGCACCTAGAAGATGGCTAAAAAGATAAAAGGACAAACAAAATATAGTATATGATGTTCTGTTGGAGGCCCTGCTTCAGGCCCCCTCTTCCCTCTCCAAACTCTGCCCCTCAGAAAGCCTGCCAAGCAGCGGCTCCTCCTCCAGAGCTTCTAAGACTAAGCCCACAGGTCTGTGTGACTTCTCTTCTTTCCTCCCCCGCCTCACTTCTGCAGGGCTTGAGAGTCACCTGGGAATGCTTTGCTCAGATTAAACCTGGCTTTATTAATTCAGTTTGATCTGGTTTATTGCGTTGGTGGAGAAACCTACTACCGGGAATCCAAAAGTACTTATCACACACAACCAGTGAACACTACTGAACCATGAAGAGGAAATTCTGACATAATAGGGATGAGCTTCGATGATATTATGCTGGGTAGCATACACCACAAAAAGACTGAGGTAGCGTGAGTCCCTATGCGTGGGTTACCTAGAATAGGGAGTGAGCTGCCATGTGGGTGCTGAGAATCGAGGTCAGGTCCTCTGGAAGAGCAGTCAGTGCTCTTAACCAGTTCATTTTATAGATGAGGAAATCTGGCTGAGAACCACAAGGGGATGAGAGTACTAATGGAAGCCGAGGAAGGGCAGCTTAGGTTTGCTGGGCCACCTAAGGATTTCCTGGAATCCAGGCTGTCCTGCTTTAACATAAAAGCACAAGGTGTCATCTGAAAACATTTAACTGGGAGCAGCGGTGTATGTTATAAACTCATTTCCTCCAATGCTCACAACCTAAGCACATTTATGAACTGATTTCCTCCCATGCTGACATCCTAAGCACATTTGGGATGGCCTTACGTTTATGGTCCTGTACAGGTACTCGGGGATGAAGAACACTTAAAACTAGGGAAAAGCTACCACTAATTGAAAAGTGGCCAAAAAAGACACATATGAAATGACATTGCAAACTAGCATTGCAATTCGTGCTCTCATCTATTTTGTGAATGTTGTCATTACAGCCATTTGTCATATCTTCTCCATGAGGACTCCAGGCTTCCCTGGCCTCCCAGCTGTCGGGGAGTAGAGAGGCTGAGGTCTTCGCGACTTTGTCTTGACTTAACGCAACCAAGGGCACACACATTGCCCAGAGAAAAGAGGATAAGAGGTGGGAGCTAAGTGCTTTTCTTTCCCCTCGTCCCCTTAGCTTCTGTGCCCCACACCTCATTATCTATGTCCCCAGTTTTAATCAGCTACTACTAGATCTGGCCTTGCTGCTGATTCTGAGTGGGGATCAGTGTAGACTATACACTCTCTGAGGGCAAGGGCGTGTCTGTCCATCATTCTGGGACTCTAATAGTCCCAACAGCTAAACAGTGAGCAATTACACTGATCCAGGAATTATACTGCCTTTTTACATATATTAACCCTTTTTATCTTCATAGCAGGCCACAGATTGTCCTACAGCTATCTGCATTCAGCTGATAGATTAAAATATAGAGGTTAACTCAGTAGCTCAAGCTCAGACAGCTAGTTAATTCTAGAAGTCCTACTGCTTTCTCCAGCAGGAGTCCTGTGCCTTCCCATACTTTGGGGACATCAGTGGGGTTGTAAGAATGCTGCTAGATCTGGGGGCTCCTTGAGGGTGAAGGTCCTGCCAGTCTTGGAATCCCCGAGTACAGAGGCGACCACAGTCCTGAACCCCGAGCCTCATAGGCTTTGTGCTTCTCTCTGGCCTATGGGCTGGTACATTAGGAGACAGGGACATGATATTTCCACACTGGCACTTCCCAGGGCATCTGGCCTGTTGGGAGCAGCTTCTCTGCCACCTTGGCTCTCCTTTCTCCCCGCCCGAGGCTTTTGACCACAGCAGCAGCTGGAGCCTGAACACAGCACGGCTTCTCTCTACTCCCGCTCCAGGCTGATGGATCTGAGCATGAGGTCGACTGCCCCTGGGATCTGCCAGGCAGTAAACAAGCCATTCATGCGTCAGTTGTTTTGCTCCAGAGCAGCCTCATCAGCTGGACAGACCATGACCAGCCCTGCCAAGTTTATCCCCATGGGTGGGCTGCGGGCTGGGAGTGGTGGATGGCCTGAAACTCAGCTCAGTCTTTTCCATGCCCTTGAAGCTGCAGAGTTTTGTTAGGAGTGGCAGTTTGTACTAGTGTGATCCTAGGTACCTGAGACACATGGGAAGGGCTGCTGCTGCTTTATGGGGTATCTCAGGAGTGGAGACCCCAGAAAACCATGAAGGAAGAAACCATGAAGGCAGTCTACTGAGAGACACCCTAGAGAAGTTTCCAGAACCATGCAGTTTTCTGGCCTCAGGGCTCAAAAAAGTTGGTCAGAATGTCCCGAAGCCCATTAGCTCAAATTCTTCCTGTCCTGTTTTCACTTCCAAGATAGCCATGTTCGTCCAAGTTGTCTCCCCATGTCTACCCTGTCTATTATTGCAAAAAAATTCAAGCTGAGGGTCCTTGGGCGTCCAAGGGCAGGGAATAGGATTAATAGACTGGGGTAGGGGATAGGATGTGGCATTAGGAGTTGATAGATTGTAGAAGCAGAAACCCAAGGATATAAACCAAGGACCAAGGTCAGGAGGCCAGGAACCCCAGGCAGAGGAAGTAGAGCCACCGCCCCCACACCGTCTGACCTGCACTTTCGTTCTGCTCTTAGTGGGTAGAAGGAGGTGACATTCTCAGTTTCTTTTTGCAGATGTGGAAGCAAATTAAGTAATCTGCAGTCTATCCCGGTTTGCAGAAGAGCTGGGCCTCAAAAAGGTTCCCAGGGCTCTTTGGGCCAGGCTTTTTGGAGGACAGGCTCAGGGAGGAGAATAAGGGCATATCCTTATGGATCATCAACTCCTCTGTTGTCAGCCCCACCCACCGTACCCTGTAGAATAAGCCACATCTGACTGCAGAGGCAGTCACAGTGTGTACGACAGCCTTCCGCAGACCCCTCTGTCACAGCTCAGCCAACCCGTGCTGAGCTCCACTCCACTTTTAAGGCATCTCATGCCACCATTTCTTCCTGCTATTCTCCCATGCCTCCTGCACCAGCTGTCCAAGGGCCCCCGTGCTTACCCTGTCGTGATGTCATCATCCTCTGTCATGGTCTTGCCCATGAGGTCACTGTCACTCATGTAGCCAGACTTGAGGTCCACCTCATCGGAGTCCAGGGACTCCACCAACTCCAGGCGAGAGATGTGGCTGAGCTTGCTAGGGCTCCTCATAGGCATCGTGTGGGAGTAGTGTGCCCGTTCCCCATGCATGTACCAGGCTGGCGGCCCCTCAGAGCGACAGCTGCCCCCAACAGAGGGTGCATCGCCAGCCTGCAGCCGGGGACTGGACTGGCCGTAGCGCCAGGAGAGAGGAGAAGAGCGGTTGGAGAGGCTGGATACACTTCGAGGGTTGGCATCGTCACTGTCGTAACAAGTCATCTCCAGGGAGCTGTGGAGAGAGCAGATGGCATAGGTTTAGTCCTCAGCCCAACCAGTCTGTGCCCTGTCCCCTCACTGGGATTCCCCTCTGTAGAGGCTTCTAAGTGTATGTTCCTTGGTGACGGGTAATCCCAGACTGTCGAGGGAAAATGATCCTAAGTAGCCAAGATAGCAATCCCATACACTCCCAAGAGCCTACACTGTGAGCATGGCTAGTGTTTAATACTTTTTTGGGCCATTTTTTGCTGTCCCAAATGGCCCAAAGAAATAAATTAATCTTGCTACTTCGTTATTGGTGAGATGGGATAATGCCTCCCCTATGTAATGTTTATAGAGTTGGGAGGGCTGCAGCCATACAGATCTGAGTGGGCCTGACAGGTACAAGATGCTCACCCAATCAGAAAGAGCCAGTGAGGCTTGGTGGGTTGTGAAGAGTGGAGGCTACTACTAATCACCAGAGCTCAGAAGACTTTGACTGTTCACTTTGCCAAGGGTGTGGCCATCACCTATCAGTGAGCAAAGGACTAGCTGACTCCCGGGTACCAGATCTACGAAAACCTAAAATTGGATGTGGAAGGTACAGGACAAGCTTTTGGGAACCTGAGATATGAAGCAGGCCCCAGGAAGACTGGTTCTAGCCATAGGCCAGGGGAGGAAGTGGAGGAACAGGGAACAGACACGGCCTTCACTGTGTAGAGAAGAGGACCCAGGAAAACAGACAAGAGATACAGCAAGATCCAGGGTCCTAAGCATTCAGGCCACCAGGCCAGGCCAAGGAAGCTACAGGCAGGCTAATACCAGAAGGCCTGAGGCTAGAGAGCCTGGGGCCTTCTCTCACAGGGCCAGAGAGGAAATATGGCTGAGATCTGGCAGGATGGTTCGGGCTGTGATTTATAAGTTCACCAAGCCTAGCCATGGTGCCATTCCACGCTACTTTTGACCCTTCTCTATCACTTGGCCTGACTAAAGTCAGACAGGGTTTAATCAATGATGTATGTGGGTCACCAAAGCTGGGTCATCTGAAGCCACCCATGGCTAGACATGAGGTAAACAAAGCAGAAAGGTCTTTGATCTGTGACCAGATCCCTCTCCACTCTCGGGACTGAGATGGGAAGCAGACATTGATTGCTATTATTATTGTTATTTTTATAAAGTTGCTCGGAAAAAAGAAAGCCCTCCAAAATGGTGTCTTTATTAAGCCTGAGAAAATATTCTTTCTATTCCTTCGCAAAATGAGAGGAAGGGTCATCAGTCCTGAAAATCAGCATGATAGGGTTCTTGCAGCTGACCTCTGGGCATTTAGTGACCTCCTGAGTACTCCCAGATGGCCTACTCCTATCCTTCCCTCTGGGCCCATCCTTTGTAGTTCCCCATCAGCTTCTAGTCACTGTGGACCTCGACACCTTCTCCTGGGGGAAAAGAGAAGCCCCTGATGGCAGGGAAGCCATGGGCATGGTGTAACTCAGCCCTAGTTCTCACCCTTATTCCAGCACTTCACAAGGGAATCACAGCAGGGAACAACCCCAGGATGGCTGTGCTGAATGCAGTAGGGGCTGTCTGGCCCCAGAGGAAGGTCAGAGCCTTGTGCAGTAAGCGCTAAACAGAAACAAGCTGCCCATGAAGTGACTGCTGATGATGGGGGGGGGGGGGGGGGGAGAAGAGGATGGATAAGCGGCAGACCATGGTGAGAGCCTGAGGTATCCAAGGGAACTGGTGTGGGCAGTTGGTGTCCACCATGGTAACAAGTGCACGAGGCAGTGGGGGTTCCTCACTCAGTTCTGTCTCTGGCCTACACTTCTTCCCCAATTTTGAGGCTCTATTTTTTAAAGCACCAAAATCCATCTTTAGGTCTCAGTGGGAAGGGTTTCTAGCTCAGAGCTGATCTCCCGACCTCCAGCTGGGGCCCAGCACCAGGTTGGTCTCCCTGGGGAGGTCAGTTTTGCTTCCTCTCCAGCCCCAGTCCCTACCCCAGACTCTCCCTGCTGAAGGAAGCATAACCTACAGAAATAGAGGAAGCAAGTTTCCAAAAAGGAACCGAGTCTAAGTTACCCTGTGAATTCCAGGGTGACAGCAACCTTGGCAGATGTACCCCTTGGGCCCTGAGGCCCTGGAGGATAAGACTATGTTCGCTCTGAAGGCTGGTGCCCCACACTGTATGAACACACAGCTGCCCCCATCAGCCCGTGGGTCCAACAGGTGCATCTTCTCCAGGTCCTCTTCCTAGCCTAGGGAATATTATCGCTCCAAGGTGCAGGGAGATATTGATTGGTAGTACTTTAAAAAGCAAAAGAGCCGTAAAAGTCAGGACCCTGGGGTTTGGACTGTGCAAGTGTGAACCAGAATTATAAACCAAAGGCCAGGAGAAATGACCCCTCGTCCATGGTAAATGGAAGACACAGGCTCTTGCTTGGTCCTTTCTTTTCCATGAGGGAGAGGGGAGCCAGAGGCTTCAGGGCACTTGTCACAAGTAGTCAGCACAAAGGGAAGGCTTCAGGCTTCCCTTCCTGATGGCAGCAGAGTCTTCCCTACTTCCCCGGGGCCTGGGGCACCAGGAGCATAGAGCAGCTGCCTCTGCCCTACTTCTGCAGTGAGTCATCTGGGGTGTAACTCTCATAGCGACTCAGCAATTCTTGGCTTCTTTGGCACAATGTTGGCGGGTGACTTGGCACTAAGAGATGTTCCAGAAACTTCCTTGGTCGGGGGGTGGGGTGGGGTGAAGAGAAGGATGTTCAAGATTTTGTCTATAGGTGGCTAAACCACTGGGTGATTCAGCTGAGTGGGAACCCCACTCTACCTGATTCCTGCTTAGGGCCTGGGGGATGGAATAGAGACTGTCCTGGGACTGCCGAAGCCACCCTGACCACTCTCCCCAGACTCCCCAATCACCTCCTTTTACGTCGTCAGGGAGAAGCTTAGATGTCTGTGAATAAGGCCTGGTTTACCTAGGTATGAGTGGGGATGCAGGAGGTAAGAGAAGGAGGAAAGCCTCAACAGGAAGACCTACAGCCAATGGATGCAGGCTCCTAAGACGAGCATTGCCTGATTGGAGGATATGCAAGTATGTCTTGATACTCCTCTGACAGACAATGCCCAAACTAATGAAAGTCCTTTTCCAATTAACCCTATGCCCCAGCCTTACAGTCAGGTTTTAGCACCAGGCAACAGAGCGGATCCCACCTCCAGTTTGACTGAGGAGGCTTTGGTTCCTAATACCCAGGCTTCTAGCCTCCATGTCCATGTCTCGTGATTTCCCAGCCTGGGCTGCCTGCTCACCTCCCTCCTCAGGACTTAGCTGGGCCCTCTGTCCCCCTTAGGGCTGACAGTATGATCTCATCTGAGCAGCTCAGGGAAGCCCAGAGGAACCAAATGGGAAATTCTGACTCACAGGGGCTGGGGCCAGAACACTGCTCTAGGGGAAAGGGCTGTGGGAGAGGTACATACCCTGTAGCCGGAGGCTTGGGGGTTTCTGTAAGGGTTGGGAGACAAGAGGGATACCATGGGGCTGATTTTGTGAGTGACAGTAGGTGGACCCTGCCAGGTACTGAGCCCTCCTTCAGGAGTGATAGAAGTAGCCAGAAGACACAGACTAGCAGAGGGCTGAAGAGGACCCAGGTCCTAGCATCCCAGAAGGATGTGGTGTTTAGTAAACAATGTCACCTTGACAGATGAGGAGACTAAGGCCCAAGGAGAGATCAGGTATGACAGACCGAACACCTGGTCTTCCACCCCTACCCAGCAGTTTTCACGGTGATACAGTTAACTGAGATCCCATGTTCATGCATAAGCAGAGATAAGACTGCATGGGGCTTCTGCTGAGGTGCTGGGCTCCCCTTTCCCTGCAGCGCTGATAATGTGGGGATCTAAACACCCGTGTTCACAGAGGACAAGGCCACCTGGTGTGGAGTGAGCCCGAGGCCTTGCCCTCCAGACCTAGGGAGAAGATGTCACCAAGGGCAGCTCAGTCTTTACCTGTGCGTCACCTGGGAGCCCCGGAGGCTGGACATGGTTTCTTCCAGGTTCTGTCGAAGATCCAGAACATTCTGCACTGTCCTCTTTCTCTGCGACTCTGGATCTGGCAAGGAGAACAGAGGAGCTGGTGAATGGGAAGGCCTTCCTGAGGAACCTGGGGGCCACGGAAGGGGAACCAGACCATATCTTCCTGAAGCCAGGCCTCGGGCCGGTCACCCGCTTAAGATGACCAAGAGAGCAGGTCCTCTAAAGGCCTCCGCAAATGCCCTGGGCCTGCTGAAGCACCAAGCCTGACAAGGGCTGCAGACAGGGCCACTGCCTTCCCTCCAGACCCTCAGAGGCATGACTGCCTCTGCCTCTGGCTTAGGGAGGCTCTTCTCACAGCAGAGGCAGAGGTCACAGGTGAGGTTTCCTGTGGTGGAGTAAAATGGAGCACTCCCCTGGAACCTCCTCGGTAGCTAGCACTCTGCTGCTGTGTTCTTAGGGCCCTCAGAAGAGGGGACCCACTGATGGGCAGTGTTTGCCTGCTTCCGTGGTATGAATATTGCCATGTGGTTGGTTTCAGTCCATCAACATGTCCCTGGTCAGTGTTCTGAAGGCTTGGGAACATGTGGAGTTGCTCTGTGGCGGCCTAGGAGGTAGTCCTGACAAAGCCTCCTGAAGGTGAGGTGGCTGATGGGAGCTGGAGATGAGCAGCCATTTTCTGGGGCAGTTCAGATCCTATTCAAGAGCTGGAATTCTGACTGAGGAAGAAGCATGGGTGTGGCCAGAATCTGGACGGGTCAAGGACCACTTTGCTCAACTTGGTTTCTGGGCAGGATGACGTGAGCCTGGACCAATGTGAGCCTTTATCTATAAACAAAGCTCCATCCTTTCTCCCATCTAGGATGGAAATAGCATCCAAATGATGCAAGGCAAAGAACCTTCCTCTCCCTTCTACTGACCTAGCCAACTAATCTTTATGACATACCCACTTGGGGATAGGTGTGGTGGTACACAACCTTGATCCCGGCACTCAGGAGGCAGAGGCTGGTGGATCTCTTTGAATTTGAGGCTAGCCTGGTCTCCATAGTAATTCCTAGGCCAGCTAAGGCTACATAGTGGAGCCCTATATCAGAAAAGAAAGACAACAAAAAACCCCAAACAGACCCAAAAATGAGTAAGAATAAAACAGCAAAGACACCCACAGAACTTGGTGCCAGGCACTGGGAGGACACCGTAACGAAGGCCCTGCTTGTTGCTTTATACTTTCCGTTGGGATCTAAAGTCACTGTCACCAAACAGAGCCCAGCTTCCCCAATCTTCCTCAAGAGGCAGCCTTCGGCAATCAGCCACAGAAAGACGACAGTGGGACAAGCCCTCTCCTCCCTCCCTCAATCCCTGCAGCCTTCTGGGCAAGTCAGCCTTACTCCCACTCCCAGCCCCAGTCTCTCTCCACCCACAGACTCAGCAGGAGAGCAAGCTCCTTTTGGCTGCCAAAGAGAACATTTCCTAATCCCATAAGAGGTTTTTATTTTTTTTTATTTTTTATTTCTTAAGACTGAGCTCAGTGTCTGTCTGTCACTGCATGGCCGGCCAAGAGAAGCTGGGTGGGGTGGCAGAGCCATTGGTGTAAGGCTCTCCCCAGAGCCTCTGGGATACCTTCCCCTAAGACCAGCTCCAAACCTGGGCCCAGCCTTCTCTCTGTTCCCCTCCCTTGGGGTCTTGCCCCATCCCTAACTTCTCATGGCCGGTCCCATGTACACAGCACTCCATGGTGGTGCCAAGGAACAAGGACAAATGGCAGGCCTCCATGCCAGCGCTCTGCGCTCCGTCCACAGCCCTGGCATCATCTCTCTGGCTGCCAATGCCTGTTTATCCTGGCAAGTGTCACCTGTGAGTTGCTCCGTGTCTCTAACTAATGGCTTGGCATGAGACACGGGGTCAGAAAGTGTACACCTATATATTTTAACGTTTAATTCTCAAGTGCCTATGTGGGAACCTAGAACATGGTGCCAAGGTACGGGCTTCCCAAGAGGGTGATGCTTTCTATGGGGTGTGATGGAAATGATCCAATGTGCACACATCTCCAAAGTGTGTTTCTAAAGAGGGAAGTGACTGAGAGTCACTCAGAGACTCCTGGGCATGCCAGGCCTTTGGACACATCATCCAGTGGAATCTTTACAACATTTCTGCGAGATCCAGACTATTGTTCCATTTTACAGATGAGAACACTGACACTCGGAGAGATCAGATGGATTAACTGAGGTCACACAGCGAGCATGTAACACAGCGTTGGGCTAGAGTCTGAAAGAAACTCACCTCTTTGGACATAGGAAAGCACATCCTTGTGTCAGAAGTGTCGTGCATAGTGACTGTATACAGTAGTGTTTAAACATATCCCAAGAGTTGATGACTGCAACCACCATTTTTAAAAAGTGTGTGTATGTATGTGTGTGTAGCAGTTGGATACTGTGGCATTAAAAAATATCACCCTCTCTTTAAGGAAAAATGTTTAAGTCATACAGTCAGCCAGCTTCATTCCTAATTCTCTAGGCCTCGGGGCACAGCAGGGCATGATGGGAACTAGAACCCAAAATCTTGGTAGTCACAGAGAACCATATATCAACTCTTGATATATCAGTCACGGTGCCCTCTGTCTCCTCGGAGACCTCCACCCCAACCCCTACATTTTCCCACATCAACAGAGTAGAGCGGGGTAGCCCCCCCTGCCCCCCAGGGGGGGACAATTCTCAAAAGCCAGACATCAAGGTCCTCGAAATGGCTCAGCCCAGTCCTGTGTGCCACTGAGAAGGTAGGAAGTAAGTCACGGTGCAGAAGTGCAACCAGCTGGAGACAGTTGTGTCAGAATTACCTTCAGCCCCCAGAGTGGGCTTAGGGGAGGCAAGGAGGCCAGGACACAGCTTGATTTAATGGAGAGGACCAGATCTGTTCAGCGTCAGGACTGGGTCAATCCTGAAGAGGCTACACCCTGGAGTTCCTTGGTGTCTCAGCAGTGCCGCCTGGTGGCCAACTAGGGTATGCCACCTCATGTTTCCACAGCTCGTGCTCTTTCTCTCTCTCTCTCTCTCTCTCTCTCTCTCTCTCTCTCTCTCTCTCTCTGTGTGTGTGTGTGTGTGTGTGTGTGTGTATAAGGGTCTCGCTGTTCAGACTTATATAAATATAAGAGGTTACAGATACTTTACCTAGTTGTTTGTGGGTGTGGAGTGTGTGAGTGTGTATGGAGTGTGTGAGAGTGGGTGTGCAGTGTGTGAGTGTGTATGGAGTGTGTGTGTTCGGGTGTGGGGGGGTAATATTCACACCTCTGACCCCCAAGGCATTTTTCGGTGTTTCAGCTTAAAAATACATTAAGTTGTATTTGCAAAAGAACTCAGTCCACCTTGCCCCACGCCCCAGCATTCCAGATCTGTACCCTGCCCTAGCCCAGCACCGGGCCCACAACTAAGCCTTGCTTCATTTTCACTGTGTCCGATGAAAGTGAGAGTCTGGGAGGGGTGGCAGGTTTTGCGGTTCTAGTCGCTCTGTGATGACGTTAGTATAACCTGAAAGTGTTATACTTTATTCTCCTGGTTAAGTCCCGATGTCTTGGGGGCTGCTTCTCTGTATCTTGGTCAACAAACCTTTTGGTCTCAGCATGGGCGGACCTGGGGGCAAAACAAGGCTGAGGAATGTCTCCCCGCTACTGCTGCTCGGGATGTTCCTAACCTATGTGGCATCTCTGCATGGTACAGCTAAGTTTTTGCAGAACAGGTATAGCTTCAGGGATAAAGAGTGCCTGTGCGCTCATGTGTGTGTGTGTGTGCGTGCGTGTCTGTGTGCATGTGTGTGTGCATATGTTTGTGTGTGCCTACAGAGAGCATCCTGCCCATGGAGTTTTTCTGAGGATCGACAATCAAATATACCTGACGCACAGGTACATGCACACAGAAATGCCAGTAGTGCCAGTGACGTGTGTGCCACACGTGGGGTACAATGCTGGGCATATGACTCCACGGTATTTAGTTTGATTCATCATATCTGTTTGGATTCCAAACCCCTATTCTTTCTATTACAATATGTGCCTCAGATTAGACACATCTCACCATGGTGTGCCGGTTCTGCAAAGATACACTTGCCTCCCGTTGTGTGACAGGAAGGTGACTAAGAGACTCTCGAGGAAGAGAGAGAATTTGTGCACGAGAAGGGAAGGCCCAGGGGACAGGGGGGAGGGTAATGTGAGTAGATTTCTTTTTGGCATCAGACACAGGGACAGGCCTCCCAAAGATGACAAGACTGAGTGGCCCCTGACCTAAGACACTGAGGAGAAGCTGACTCAATTCAGTGTCAAGAACGTAATTCTTAGGCCTGTCACTGTGGAGCATGACTTTAACTAGAGCTGAGAGGCAGAAGCAGGTGGATCTCTGTGAGTTCTAGAACAACCTGGTATACATAGTGAGTTTTGGGATAGCCAGGGCTATGTAGAGAGACCCTGTCTCAGAAAGAGGGGAGGGCGCTTCATCTGGTCAGGCTGCAGCGAGGCTTAAGGACCAACATATTTAGCATAGCGCCTGGCACACAGCAAACTTCCTGGAAATGCAGCTCAGAGCCCGCAGAAGGTAGAGGTGAGCGGGCAGAGGGCTGGAGCTCCCCACTCTCTGCCATTGACAGATGGCTGGGACCAAGCTCTGGCATGGTGAGACCCTCACACCTGGATCTAGGGGCAAATGAGAAAAAGCCTTGCTTCTGCATCATCAAGCTGACTAGCTGCCTCTCTCAGGGCTACTCTCGCCTAGGGGAGATAACAGAGACTTGCTCAGGCAAGAAGGCTAAGGACAGCAAGCCTCCAGCTCAGAGTGTAAATTCCAACAGAGTCAGGCAAGTTCCGAGAGGAAGAGGCTCAGGGGGAGCCGTCACCCAGGACTCAGATTTTCCCACATTCTGTGAGGTTTTAATTATTAGCCAGCAATTAAGTAAACTGCAATGACTGATTGGCAAAGCCTTAATTACTTCCAATGTTTCAGAACCCACACGAGCCTTTGAGCCCAGAGCAGGGCAACTGAAAACTGGGTCTACACCTCACCCCCAGACTGGTTTTTGCTGTGAGTGACTGGGGGAGGCACAAGC